CCCGAAGTTTAGAGGGCTGGATCTGTAGGCCTGCAGTCAGCCAGAATGGGGCTGAAGTGACCACCCCACCTGGGTCCTTTCCACACTAATGACTGCTGAGCTGCCCCACTGACCTGTACAGCCCCAGAAGTAGGGACAGCCAGTGTGGAGAGGCTGTTTGCCCTCAGGAAGGGCAAAATGAGCCCCCTCAAGGGACAAGTGGACTTGGCCCAGCAGTGGTTACACCTGGGCTGCTAACTGCATGGGAAGTTCAACACCACCAGCTGCTCCTTGGGACAGAGGAGGCGTTCTACCTCCTTGGAAAGAGCCACAACCTTGGAAACTCGCTGGGCCAGAAATGACTCAATGGCAGTGAGTGGGGTTTGGAACAAAGACATGAAGATGAAGGTCAGTTCTTCCTCTAGGACCTCTGACCCTTTGAAAAGACAGCCAGCTGCTTCAGAGGTAATCGCTGTGCCCTGGGGCAGCCACTGGGTCACATCTAGTCTGCAGTTCAAAAGGACAGGCTGCTGTGGAGGGACGGACAGGGAGGCTGTCTGCTCCGGAAAGATTTACTGTCTCGGGAGGGAGCACAAGAACGGATTGTGAATACACAACTCATTTTTAAGGTGCTTTAATCATGGGGGCAGGGGGTAGAAAGTGTTCTACAATTGATTGTGGTAATGATTGTGCAATTTTTCTTGACAAGATTAAATTGTATTGTGTGTTGGGGGGAAAGTCTCAGAAACCTCCTGGACCAGTTGTCTCTACCCTGTCCTCTAAGGTCTCAGAGTTGGACTGGACTCCATAGCAGAGGGCTTGGTGGTGAATTTGGTCACCCCCTCCCCCCACCAGCTCTGTAGTAATGGCCCTTCGGACAGCCTCAGCCACCTGGACCCAGTCAATGCTCTGGCTCAGCCTCCCTGCCATCACGGCACACACCCCAGCACAGAGCTGAGCCGGGTGCCCTGCCTAGTCTCCTGGCACTGGAAGGCTGGCCATGGGCAGGGTCCCTGGCCACCCTGTGTCCCCCAAAGTCCCCTACAGAGGGTGGAGGAAGAGGCCATGTGCATCCCCCTGTCTTGTGTGTTCCTATCTGCCCAAGGGGCAACTTCTCCCTCTGAATCTAGCTGAGGGCATCCCTGGCTACCCTCATGCCACTCTACCCCATCAGAGGCCCAGGTCTAGGCTCTGGTTCAGCCTCCTGGGGACGCTCCTACAGGGGTTGCCAACCTTTGGCATTGGGATTGCTCCCTACCGCACTCCCTGTGGCTTCCAGTCAGTAGTGTGGAAAGGACTCCGAGGGTTGGGGCTGTCCCTCAGGAGGAGCCCAAGAAGAACCAACTGGGTCTGATACTTTTCCCCTCAGTGTCCCCAACAGGGGCCAGTGTTGTCCCTTCTCTGAGCCCTGGGGCAGAGTGGGCTGATTCAGGCCTGCCCAATCCACAACAGCATGTACACTGAGCATGTCAGGTCACTACAGGATTACCCCCGGACATGTCAGAGTGCTTGTGAGTCAGGGTCCCTGCAACCCTGTGAGGCCCAGAGGCATCCTGGGTGGACTGGACACAGAGTCTCTTGCCCCACCAGAACCCACCCTATCCGGGGGCTCAGACCTGGTGGTCAGAGGGGCCCCAGTCAAGCCCCCCTCCAGCTGTGACCTCACTTGAGGTCACAGGACCAGCTCGGGCTCAGGCACAGGCTGGACGGAGGACAGGGGGTCCTCCCTGGCAACATGACAGCACCATCACACACATGGACACTTTACGGACATGGTTTATTGTCAGGTATACATGGGCAAACCACTGGGAACAGTCCAGATGTGAGGGTGTGGGGACCCCAAACCAAAAGCCTGGCCACAGGGGAAGGG